TGAGGACGAGTTTGGAAAATTTAGGGAATATGTGGAAGGTAGACTGGACAGTATGAACAACGACATAAAAATTAATGAAAAAATCGTGGACACCAAGTTGGAGGATTTCCAGAAAAGACAAAACGACATCGATGCAGAATTAAAACAATTACAAACACAGATTGAAGCAGGCGTTTCTTCCAACAAACAGACATTGTCGGATGCATTATCCGCAGCAATATCTTACTTAAACATGGACGACTCTCACCCTATGGAACAACCGGAACCTTCAACATCGTCTGAGTACCCAAATCTTCAGTCACCACAACCTAGGGCGGAAATATCTGTAAGTTTAGGCAGGGGAAGGGAATTTGTATGCTCTAGTGTTGTATGAGTTGATACGGATTAAGGTAGGTATGAATTACGGAGGCCAGGTGTATGTCATGTATTACTGATTGACACATTTTGTGCACATGCTGGAGTTAAGTTGCCCCAACTTCAGGGCTTTCCATTTCGGGAACTCCGATCGGATCTTAGACGGATCAAATTCCTCTGATGAGCCCTGAGTAGCCTGTGTAATTTCTTCATTATCTTTCAGTGCACAGGGGCCTGTTCCTATTTGAGGGGCACTTTGAGTTGAATTTTCTGCCTGCTGGACACTTTGGGCGGGAGTCTGTGCAGTTACTACAACAACCTCTAGTGCACATGGGCCGCTTTTTGGTTTTTTGGGGCACTTGGATTGCACGATTGATCCGGCAGCGAGGAATGTTCTGCCTGCTGGACACTTTGGGCGGGAGCCTCTGTAGTTACTACAACAACCCCTAGTGCACAGGGGCCACTTTTTGTTCGAGGGGCACTTGGATTGCACTATTGATCTGGCAGCGATGTATTTTCTGCCTGCTGGACACTTTGGGCGAGAACCTGTGTAGTTACTACACCAATTGCTAGTGCAGAGGAGCCGCATTCTGCTATAGGGGCACTCGATTCCCCTTCTACCAATGATTTGTCTACTTCAGGGTCTGCTGCCCCTTCCGGTACTGAAGGTTGTTTTTTTCCATTGCTTTCGCTTGGGTTTTTGCCCTTAGTTTACTTTCAACCGTCTTCCTTTTTCTGGGTGGCATGGTTTTGGGATTGCTTTATGCGGTGTGTTTTTTATATGGATTAGGGTTTGGAAATATCAACTGCACTGCTCAAGAGAAGAGTAGAGAAAGAGTGAAGTGGAAGCACCATGTGACGATGTAAAGTAAATAAATCTGCATGTCAGGGTTGTTAGCTGGTCTAAAGGCAGCTGCGGGAATCTAAAGCGTTTCGTCCAAATTATTTCTTGTTTGAAAATTTTAGAATTTCACTTTTGTTTCCTTTTATTTAAAAAAACCTGGTATATAACACAATGATAAGCTACTTTTGTCATGATTATGTTGTTAGCGTCCACTTTACAAGTTGCATTTTACCTTTGACGAGATTGTAAATATCTCCCAACAATGCGCCATTTTCTATAATTTATTCAAATCGAAACATATATATTTTTTAAAGGTTCGATTAGACGCGCGACAAAAAAACAATACAATAATATTAAATAAGAAAATGATCAGGGCCGTGGTCTTAACGGCTTCTTGTTTACGATTATGGAGTTGTTAGAAAACGTCCGCGGAAGCCGCCCTATGCGTCATGTGCGAGGTAAGTTCCTCGCGACATGATTGATCCGCCTGCCTGCCTATGTTACTACCAGTTTCCTGATTTTCGTTGCACTTATGTTTGTGCAGTCTCCCAATGCCTCGACCCATGTTCTGTTAATGCATGTCGCTGTGCGACTTGAAGGTAGACCGGATATTTCAGTGTCTGGCGTGGCCAAGCCACACATAGACAAGCCTCTGGGAGCAGATGTCTTGAGCTGCAATTTGGAATGGTTGCCCTCATTTTAAAATANATATTAGCCAGCGTTATGGCCGACGATATGGCACCGGAACGCTGCCCATTGGTTAGGAGAATCTCTAACATGATGTAGTCTCTGACCCGGGCATGGGTCCTTTGGTCAAGGACATGATCGTCATTAAACTCCGCTATTACCTTCTGGACCCCAGCAGCGGTACTGGATTGGCGAAAGTTTTTTTTATTTCCTCTTTGAATATTGCAGACTCGTCGTCTAGGACGAGGCGTTCTGTTACCCGCTCTCTAGTTCTTTTACTTATGGCTGCTGACCATCGATTCACCGATAAAATTACAACCTTTGCCGTGTCGCTCTGGATCTGTTTAATGTGCAAGTAGTTAAGGAAAGCTCTTAGAGACCCTAGATAGCTTTTAACAGTCCCCGGCATTTTATCCTTTTTAAACCCCTCTAACCAGGCCAGCAGGTTCTCAACGTTGAGGAAAGCCTCAACGTATTTTGAACCTGATTTCGCTGCGATTGTCGGCATTTGGAAGGCATGTTGTGCTGCTGCCTTGTTGTTTTTAGAACTCTCTGCCGAGGACAGGAACTTCTCATAGTTGGCGATGATGCCATCAATCTCGGTTTGTTTTGCAGGTGGCCCCGCGGACTTGGTCCTAAGTAATCTTATATGGGCATCCGCTGCTGAATTCTTGTGCGCGTTTATCAAATTCCTTGCCAGCCTTTCCACCTTTCCGGGACACCCTTCCACAGTACATTCCCTATATTTATTGCCTTCCTGTGGGACCTTGTCTGATAATCTATTTGCAGCGCTTGCACGGACGTACATAAATTGGGATTCAGCATCATGCGTATGGCGAATGTGCCTAGCCATGTCCAGCATCTCGATGGTGCACAACTGAGATTGCTTCCTTTGTCGGGGATGCTTTGACGTTTGTTTTCTAGAATTTCAAGCCGGACATCATCCGGTTCAGGCCTGTTTTCCTTGAACGTGTTTGAGGGACAGCCTCGTCATCAGCAGATGCCTCATCTGATTCCTCACCGGATGGCTTCTAATTAGGGTCGCTACCCTCAGAGCTATAATTGGATTCCGCGTCCGAATCATCGTGGGCCTGGCTGTTATTGCTGGAGTTAAGTTGCCCCAACTTCAGGGCTTTCCATTTCAGGAACTCCGATCGGATCTTAGACGGAACAAATTCCCCTGATGAGCCCTGAGCAGCCTGTGTAATTTCTTCATTATCTTTCAGTGCACAGGGGCCTGTTCCTATTTGAAGGGCACTTTGAGTTGAATTTTCTGCCTACTGGACACTTTGGGCGGGAGCCTCTGTAGTTACTACAACAACCCCTAGTGCATAGGGGCCACTTTTTGTTCGAGGGGCACTTGGATTGCACGATTGATCCGGCAACGAGGTATTTTCTGCCTGCTGGACACTTTGGGCGAGAACCTGTGTAGTTACTACACCAATTGCTTGTGCAGAGGAGCCGCATTCTGCTGGAGGGGCACTCGTTTCCCCTTCTACCAATGATTTGTCTACCTCAGGGTCTGCTGCCCCTTCCGGTACTGAAGATTGTTTGTTTTTTTCCATTGCTTTCGCTTGGGTTTTTGCCCTTAGTTTACTTTCAACCGTCTTCCTTTTTCTGGGTGGCATGGTTTTGGGATTGCTTTATGTGGTGTTTTTTATATTGATTAGGGTTGGGAAATATCAACTGCACTGTTCAAGAGAAGAGTAGAGAAAGAGTGAAGTGGAAGCACCATGTGACGATGTAAAGTAAATAAATCTGCATGTCAGGATTGTTCGCTGGTCTAAAGGCAGCTACGGGAATCTAAAGCGTTTCGTCCAAATTATTTCTTGTTTGAAAATTTTAGAATTTCACTTTTGTTTCCTTTTATTTAAAAAAACCTGGTATATAAACACAATGATAAGCTACTTTTGTCATGATTAACATAATCATGACAAAAGTAGCTTATCATTGTCAAAGAAAAAATGCAAATTCTAAAGTGGACGCTAACAACATGTTAGCGTCCACATTAGAATTTGCATTTTATCTTTGACGAGATTGTAAATATCTCCCGACAATTCGTCATTTTCTATAATTTATTCAAATCGAAATATATTTATTTTTTAAAGGTTCGATTAGACGCGCGACAAAAAAACAATACAATAATATTAAATTAGAAAATGATGAGGGCCGTGGCCTTAACGGCTTCTTGTTTACAATTATTGAGTTGTTAGAAAACGTCCGCGGTAGCCGCCCTATGCGTCATGTGCGAGGTAAGTTCCTCGCGACATGATTGATCCGCCTGCCTGCACTCTGTTACTACCAGTTTCCTGATTTTCGTTGCACTTATATTTGTGCAGTCTCCCAATGCCTCGACCCATGTTCTGTTAATGCATGTCGCTGTGCAACTTGAAGGTAGGTCGGATATTTCAGTGTCTGGGCGTGGCCAAGCCACACATAGACAGGCCTCTGGGAGCAGATGTCTTGAGCTGCAACTTGAAATGGTTGCCCTCATTTTAACATCGTTTTTCAACTGTGAAAAGAGATATTCCGTTATGTGTAGCGCCGCCACAGTCCGGAAGCCTGTTGTGTGGTTAGATATTGATAGCTGGTACCCCCCCCCCCCCCCCCCCCCTTCGGCCTTTGTGGCCTTTTCAATATTAGCCAGCGTTATGGCCGACGATATGGCACCGGGACGCTCCCCATTGGTTAGGAGATTTGTTTGTTTGTTTGTTTGTTTGTTTAACGTCCTATTAACAGCTAAGGTCATTTAAGGACGGCCTCCCCTGTGTGCAAGATGCATGCGTGTAGTGTATGCGTGTGTATTTTGGGAGGCTGCGATATGTTCGTGTTTATCTCCTTGTGATAGCGCGGAACTGATGCCGACTTTATAGTGCTACCTCACTGAAACATACTGCCGAAGACACCCAGCAGGACAGTATAATGGTTAGGAGAATCTCTAACATGATGTAGTCTCTGACCCGGGCATGGGTCCTTTGGTCAAGGACATGATCGTCATTAAACTCCGCTATTGCCTTTATGTGGGACCTTGTCTGATAATCTATTTGCAGCGCTTGCACGGACGTACATACATTGGGATTCAGCATCATGCGTATGGCGCATGTGCCTAGCCATGTCCAGCATCTCGATGGTGCACAACTGAGATTGCTTCCTTTGTCGGGGATGTTTTGACGTTTGTTTTGAACAACACCCACTTTGTTAGGATTAGGGTTAGTTCATGCATTGTTATCTCTAACCCAAAACCTAATTATTGTTTCTAATTTTTTTTCAGATGATGTCCCATGAAGAAAGACAGGATTTTGACGATACTGTGTCAGAAAATGGGCGCTTCTCGGAATTATACGAGCAATATTCTTCACCTGAGCATTTTCTGATAAGGTCAGAAAAGATATATGCACGCAGTATTGCTTTAAATGCAGCAGAATCCGATGTATGGTTAAATTATATAACAGACATTGACGGCTGTGTAGTTGAATTGAAGGGAATAAACTTTGTACTGATTCCTGTCAGACACGTCACACTGTGCCAGTATGGTTTGTCATGTGTTCGTGAAATCAGATCTGTTTTAAAAAAACATGTGGATTTAACAGGTTATTCTCAAAATGCATTGCGGCATTTCAATAATTCTGTAGGGATTCAAGTATTCTATGAACATGGATGGGAAGGTTGGTTTGGGATGATACCAAATAGCAGGGCGCGGAACGTTGTATACGACAAGAAAGCAATAAAACAACGATCGCACGAAATATTTATGGAATTAAGATCTAGAGTTAAAGAGATACTGTTGGAATATGCTTCACGCGGACTTGCATGCAGAACACTTATGAAAAACGATATAAATGATCTCGGGAAAATGTTTGTAGTTCCCAATGACTGTTCGTTAATATTAGATGTCATTCATCGTGCCTTAGAAGGTCTGACCTGTCCAGATTTTAAACCGATAGTGTTTTGCTTCAGATTCGGAGAGAAAATGACCTGTGGAGTGTCACTTACTGATTTCCATAAGGAAAGGGATTGAAAAAATAACTGCGCATGCTGCAGTGGACATTTATGCGTACTGTGGAATTAACTTGTTATGGTCAATAGGTGGCTTACAGGAGGTAGTAGGCGACAGAGGTAGATTATACACTTGCTTATCATTCTCAGATTGTGGAAATTTCCAAAGTAATTTAGATGGATGATGCCTATCCATCCATAATCTGCTTCGTAGTATTTGTCGATATCCCCTAAGGTTTGTGCAATTGTATGCCGATCTGCCGCATATGAAACCAAAAACTCGCTTTCACCCAGTATCTGGATGTATCGTTGGCGGACGATGTCTACCAAAACCTAGCTCAGACGCTTTTTTCCGTGACGCGCAGCATTATATATCGTCATTATATAGCAATTTTACATTACTAAGAAAGAGTACATGTATAATTGAATTTGTTACAGAAGTAATATCTCCAACAGATGTAATACGCGCGACTGACTGTCTTGACCAATCAAAATTGACAGACCTGCTGATGAGTAAACCAATGTTGGTGCCTTTCCCTCCAGACACCATTGTCTGTATTCGTCATCTTGGTTTGTGGATTACATCTGAATTAGAAACAAACGTTGCAAATGTATCGTAACACAGGCAATGTTTGCGCTACATGGCACGCTTTTCAGCTGGAACTGGCAGTAGAAAAACTTTTGTGGGGTGGACCGCACTGTCACCGAAGTATTCGATATGCTGTTAATCTAGGACCAGGAATACATGGTGTCAGCAGAAGCTTAACCGATTATCTTGGATTTCTGGCTTTGGAAGCGTCATCGTCCTGCATGGCAAGCAACGAAAGTATTCCAACATACCTTATTTGGACAATGTCTGAAGTAGTTGTTTGTAAGAGCATCTCAAGAGCAGCAGGTTTTCACGATCACTTGGAAGCTAGTTATAGTACCATTGGCAGACGCGTATTGTTTGCTCTGCTAGGAGATCTTTACAAATATGGAAAAGTGTCTGCTTGTATCTTGTTCGAAGATTTTGTAATGGAAATGAAGGCGACAAGGAGTAGATTTCGTGTGAATGGCTCTATTACAAGTCGGGCATTAGTGGATATCCTTACAAAGAATGTAAGAGGACGACCACACACAGTGTTTGGGCATCTTTGCGATTTATTAAAGAAATCTGGCGTACCGCTGAAGGAAGTAATAACTAGCGGAATCCAGGAGATGAATTTGATGCATTTTCCAGCTGTTCAAACTAATGATGAACACCGTAATGCCGTGCTTTCTTGGTTGTTTAAGAACAATTTTTGGAGAATCATAAGAAGCAGCGCAGAATTGGACACAACATCCAACCATTCCCCAGAAAGATACACCGACCTCGTAAAAGCGGAGTTGGATAAACGTGGTATCATTTTTGCTAGCAAACTGAAGAACTTGCCGCCTATTTTGCCATGGATAGAATCCTGCGTAAGAAAACTCGGCAGAATGAAATTAACGCTGGATGGAATGGTAATAACTTTGACATTCATCAGTTGTGTAGCTTTATTGATGCAGGGATGGTTTGTGGTTTTTACTCGACTTGTGACATTAATAAGTGATGCCCCAGTAAGTCAATTGAACTTGAAAGCGTTGGAAATTCAAGCACAATTTGAAATAGCTAACTTCAAGTTCAGACAGCTGACATTGTGTCGGTTACACCACTCAATCCCGCACTGTTTACCACGAACAAATCATCGAGAGTTGCAAATGCATATAAATCATGCTATGCCAGAAGCCGATATTCCTGATGCCCAATCCATCGAGAGTTGTACTAACCTCATTAAAGATGACGAGTTATCTACCATGGAGTGTATCGAGCAGATAACTATTTCTTGTCGACCTGTAGAGCAAAAACGTAAACCAACATGGAGCAGTGATGAGCTGGAAATTTTACATGATCTATCCAGTATGATGGCTGTAAAAACCACGAAACAACGGTATGATATGTTTAAGACAAAATGCTTGATCATGCATATACCCTTACGCACATTCCGTGCATTTGAGTCAAAGCTGAAACGAATAAACTGATTGAATTTCGTTTGTTTTTCGATTGTTTTTCGATTTCAGTGCACATTCTTCATTGCTTTTATTTTGAATCTGATTGGTTTGAAATATGTTAAATGAGCCCAAAAATACAAAAACGAACAAATAACGTGTATGCTTATATTTTCTGGTTTTCAAATGGTTAGGGGGTATTGAGGTTTGACGAAGATACTCATATATTCTTGCTCATTCATGCCAAAAATATGTTTGAATTGAAGGTAAATGATGTAATTTCTATATTTAGAACTAACATTGGACTGGGTATGACTGGTGACTGGGTGATGGGTGACAGACTGGGTATGACTGGTGACTGGTTGATGGTAACTGACTGGGTATGTCTGCTAACTGGTTGATGGGTGACACACTGGGTTTGAATGGTGACTGGTTGATGGATGACAGACTGGGTTTGACTGGTGACTGGTTGATGGGTGACATACTGGGTATGACTGGTGACTGGTTGATGGGTGACTGACTTGGTATGACTGGTTGATGGGTGATAGACTGGGTATGACTGGTGACTGGTTGATGGGTAACAGAATGGGTATGACTGGTGACTGGTTGATGGGTGACTGACTTGGGATGACTGGTTGATGGGTGATAGACTGGGTATGACTGGTGACTGGTTGATGGTAACTGACTGGGGATGTCTGGTAACTGGTTGATGGGTGACACACTGGGTTTGAATGGTGACTGGGTGATGGATGACAGACTGGGTTTGACTGGTGACTGGTTGATGGGTGACAGACTGGATATGACTGGTGACTGGTTGATTGGTAACAGAATGGGTATGACTGGTGATTGGTTGATGGGTAACAGAATGGGTATGACTGGTGATTGGTTGATGGGTAACAGAATGGGTATGACTGGTGACAGGTTGATGGGTGACAGACTGGGTATGACTGGTGATTGGTCGATGGGTGACAGACTGGGTATGACTGGTGACTGGTTGATGGGTAACAGAATGGGTATGACTGGTGACAGGTTGATGGGTGACAGACTGGGTATGACTGGTGACTGGTTGATGGACAACATAATGGGTATGACTGGTGATTGGTTGATGGGTGACAGACTGGGCATGACTGGTGATTGGGTGATGGGTGACAGACTGGGTATGACTGGGGACTGGTTGATGGGTAACTGAATGGGTATGACTGGTGATTGGGTGATGGGTGTCAGACTGGGTATGACTGGTGACTGGTTGATGGGTAACTGAATGGGTATGACTAGTAACTGGCTGATGGGTGACAGACTGAGTATGACTGGTGACTGGTTGATTGGTAACAGAATGGGTATGGCTGGTGATTGGGTGATGGGTGACAGACTGGGTATGACTGGTGACTGGTTGATGGGTGACAGACTGGGTATGACTGGTGACTGGTTGATGGGTAACTGAATGGGTATGACTGGTAACTGGTTGATGGGTGACAGACTGAGTATGACTGTTGATTGGTAACAGAATGGGTATGACTGGTGACTGGTTGATGGGTGACAGACTGGGTATGACTGGTGACTGGTTGATGGGGGACAGACTGAGTATGACTGTTGATTGGTAACAGAATGGGTATGACTGGGGACTGGTTGATGGGTGACAGACTGAGTATGACTGGTGACTGGTTGATTGGTAACAGAATGAGTATGACTGGTGATTGGGTGATGGGTGACAGACTGGGTATGACTGGTGACTGGTTGATTGGTAACAGAATGGGTATGGCTGGTGATTGGGTGATGGGTGACAGACTGTGTATGACTGGTGACTGGTTGATGGGTAACAGACTGGGGATGACTGGTGACTGGTTGATGGGTGACAGACTGGGTTTGACTGGTGACTGGTTGATGGGTGACAGACTGGGTTTGACTGGTGACTGGTTGATGGGTGACAGACTGGGTGTGACTGGTGACTGGTTGATGGGTAACTGAATGGGTATGACTGGTAACTGGTTGATGGGAGACAGACTGAGAATGACTGGTGACTGGTTGATTGGTAACAGAATGAGTATGACTGGTGATTGGGTGATGGGTGACAGACCGTGTATGACTGGTGACTGGTTGATGGGTGACAGACTGGGTTTGACTGGTGACTGGTTGATGGGTGACAGACTGGGTTTGACTGGTGACTGGTTGATGGGTGACAGACTGGGGATGACTGGTGACTGGTTGATGGGTGACAGACTGGGTGTGACTGGTTGATGGGTAACTGAATGGGTATGACTGGTAACTTGGACTGGGTATGACTGGTGACTGGGTGATGGGGAACAGACTGGGGATGACTGGTGATTGGTTGATGGGTGACAGACTGGGTATGACTGGGGATGACTGGTAACTGGTTGATGGGAGACAGACTGAGAATGACTGGTGACTGGTTGATTGGTAACAGAATGAGTATGACTGGTGATTGGGCGATGGGTGTCAGACTGGGTATGACTGGTGACTGGTTGATTGGTAACAGAATGAGTATGACTGGTGATTGGGTGAGTGGTGACAGACTGGGTATGACTGGTGACTGGTTGATGGGTAACTGACTGGGTATGACTGGTGACTAGGTTAGAGTTAGTAACTACACGTGAAGCCGTGTCTGTATAACATTTGTCTTAAAATCAGATGATGGTAATGTTAAAGCAGTTTCCCGCCCTATGCTAATTTCTTTGTTCACAATATAATACGGTTTCTAAATTTAGAAATTAAATTGTTCCATTGTTATATTGCTGCCTTTAAGTCCTGCAGACATAACTGACATATCCGGCTTCATACAGGAATGCCATGACACGCGTCAATTAATGGAATTTCCAATAGCTTATTATCTAAACTGTGCTCATTGGTCCATAAGTTATGGGCAACCTAAAGTGGGACACTGTGTTCTGCATATCATAAGAGATATTAATGTAGACAAAATTTAATCATCTTTATCCAAACCAAAAGTTGGAACGTTCGTAAAAACCGAATTCTTTAAATCGATGTACACATGAAAAATTCAAAGTAACTAGAACACTTTAAACCAATATGCTTCTATATACATTTCAATAAGTCTATTCATGGCACTATTCCAAGTATTGAAATAGGGTCCCAATCGTCTGAACAGCTTAAACATATTGATATAACAGCCAAGTCTGATGAGTGATTGAACTGGGTGTGACTGGTGACTGGTTGATGAATGACTGAGTATGACTGTTGACTGGGTGATGGTTGATAGACTGACTGGTTGTGACTGGTACGTGGTGATAGGTGAGTGGTTACTGGATGACAGGTGAATGACTAGGTGTGACTGGTGACTGGGTGATGGGTAACAGACTGGGTGTGACCGATGACTGGTTAATGCGTGAATGACGAGGTGACACAAGTGACTGATTGATGGATGATTGAAGTAGGTGACCGGTGACTGGTTGATGGGTGACATACACCAGGGAGCATGTTGGCGAGGTAAAAGATGTTCATACGTTTAGGGTTGGGTAAATCTAGTAATTACTTGCATGCATGTTTAAGTATTTTCAACATTGTTTAAAATATTAATATTTACGGAATTCAAAAGAATCAAAGTCACAGAAAATATTGATGATATTGACTGAGACGGCGATTTTGTCACGGTTGTAGTTCACAGCTGACCTTGTCAATCATTGCAAAGCGTCGTCCAATCATGTGTGAAAATAGCGCTTGATTAGACGCTGATTGACTCCGTCCCTGTCTGGCTCTTAGTTCTTTAGATGTCACTCGCGAGGCCACAACAAGGGCAGGGCAGTTTAGGCAATTTCATATTGGAATGACTCCTTGCGTCTGACATATCCTACCAGCCATGGGACAATGTCTAAGTAGAAATCTGAACAGAAAGAAGGCAGAAAAGAACGAAATTAGAAATCTACAAGAAAAAGTGGAAGAAAATACATTCGAAATAAATAAAATCTACACGTTTCTGGAATGTACAAGACACTGCTCATTCATGGAGACATTAAAAATATTGGAGAAGAAACAAAGAGAACAAGAGCTATTAATACGAAATTTAGCTTGTAATCCACGAAGAAGTCCTCCGGCACCAAGAACCAGGATTAAACGACGAGCATCTTTACAAGAAAGTAGGAATGCGACTACAATTGAAGTGGAACCGGGAAATGTGTACCTGGAAATGCATTAATAAAAAAAATGAAATGCCATCTGAATCATCTACGCAACGAGAAAGAAAGACTTAAATGCCATCTGAATCATCTACCCAACGACAAAGAAAGACTTAAAGAAAACAGGAAAAAATAAAAAAAGAAAAAAAAAAAATTAAACTGTTTAAAAAAACCCCCCCCCCCCCCTTAACCCTAGTCGGTTAGATGTCTATTAATGGATGTTTAGGGGCCTAGGAGGGTTCTTGCTAACCCCCAGGGAACATTTCCTAACCCCCTGAAGATAAAGAAGTTGGGAAATGTTTTCCAGAAAAAATCAAGTTCCCGGGTAAGGTCGACCCACCTTTCGATCGGACCAAAATCATGTCAAAATTCATAATCTTTGGTGTTTCACACATAAGTTTCTCAATATTGCGAATTCAGTCTTCAAACTTCACAGAAAGTTGCTTTGACATCTCTACTCTTGGATTTAACAACCTAGACCTTTTTAGAAGGCCTAATTTTAAAGATATTCAATTTTCCCAGAGGGTCCTAAAAAGGGTTATTTTTCTGTGAAATCGTTACAATATACCCATTCGTATAACGTCTTATTTTTATAGAAATCCTTCAAAGTTTTCTTTAATGTTTATATCAAATTCTTTTTTTACTAAAATGACTACTTCATGCAAAAAAAGACATTCCTAAACTATCACCATATCATACTAAATGAAGCGTTTGAAAATATGGAATTTAGTAACTTTTATTTTTCAATCTCTAACCGCGGATGACAAAAAAATCAGGTAAATATTAAATACATGTATTTCTCTATTTTAGCTTAGAGGGTTAGAAAGGTTATTAACAGCGCTTTCTAATAATGTATTCAAATTAATTGAACTATTGGAATCAAAGAATAAATTGCTTGTTGATTTTTTTCTCCTTTTTGTACAAAATTTGTCAAAAAGTTAAACGGTCATTAAAACAAAAGTAGATTCAAATTCAAAAAAGTGGCTCTATAACTCGATTTAGTTTTTAAAATGCTTCAAAATGGCACTCAGTTTGTTAAAATAGGCGTTCTTAATATGACGCTACGCAGTTTTGAAATTTCAGAAATCGTCAAAAACTGATTTTTTATTTATAGCGCTAGAATGTTGTTTTTTTTTATTATAAAGCTTTTGATGATTAATAAATTATTTCGTCATTTTTATGTTATTTTCTTTGCGATAAATATTTTTTTTTTCGTACTGAAAACCGATTAAGTTACATTTTACCCACTTTTCAATAAGCTGTAGCTGTGGCAAATTATGCGTTATTCTCTTCAGTAAACACCTTTTTGTATTGCAAGTTATCCAAATAACAGCCAGTTAAAAACTCATTTAAAATAAATCGGTTTCAGATACTTTTTCCGATGATTATTTTAAGTGACATTTTACTGTCAAGAACCAGTAATGGTGATGAGATTACTGTAACTTAAATCCCAGGGTTAGGATAATTTTTATTATTCCATGCAATATAAGAATTTAACTGTTGCTGCAGTCATTCCTTTTTGAATACACGATGTTACCTTTATGTGCAAAAGCAGTTGTTTTTGCACAAATTTATTCAACATACCTTATTATTGCAAAATAATGACATATGCATACAAAATACCTTCTTTTGTCATTTTAAGGACAGTTCTCAACTACCATTGGCGTCCTGATACTAAACTATGTATAATTATTACGTTTCTGATTTTTTTAATTTTCATCGCCTTTTTCCACGTTCAAAAATTACGTTACAAAATACCCATGGTCGGGGTTAGATATGCATGTGTTTTATAACGAGATCTTTTTGCAAAATTACGCTGAAATAACATCTTCTTAGGGTAAGGGTTAGGGTTAGCCCTTGTTAAGCCCCTAATCCTAGATGAATATTGTTAAATCAGGATATTTTAAAGAAACAGCTATATTGTTTGTGTATATATTGAGAATTGAAGAAATCATACCATCTCATTTTCTGAGAAAAAATGCAATAAACAAAAAAAGTAAAAGTATTTCCTTCATATTTTTTTCAATTATTGGAGATATCCGTCATATCTTTACATAGAAAAGTTCAATGCTATATAATAAACACATGTAAAACACTTTATATAATGTTTTTCATTTTTGTTGCGTTTTTCTGTCTATGTGGGATTGAAATACTCGTTAAAACTCAACGGTCTTCTTTTAGGTACGAGTGAATTGTATAAAATGACGATTTAGCGCGTTTTCGTATCATTATTACAATGGCCTTTCCTAGCTACATATTCATGTTCCATAGTATGCTAGATCAAGTCGATGCCAGTCTCCATTCCTTTCTAAATGGCTACCACTTTGTGGAGACCGTCATTTTTGGGAGGGATGTACTGACCTTGTTTGACCATCTACAGGGTGAAGCCTTGTACGTCTGGTGTGTACAGAGACGAATTACATTTATTTATCTCCCGCTTGTCTCTGTAATGTACACTTAGATAATGCCCATGTATATAGTTCACTGTAAATAGTTATGTTTTTTATTGATTAATTTCGCAGTGATTGGCCATTGTGATTCGTCTTGATTAAACTCTGGGAAATCACCCAGAGTTGAAAAAAATCAATATCAGGTCTCGCTGTCCAAACACAAAAAAAAGACAGACAGGGGTTTCTTATCAGGGATTAAATTTCAACATTACCTGTTGTTCCAAATCTATCACCCTTGTATAGGATTTGCATGTTGCCTGATTCCCGTTCATTCGGTTTGATTAGATCTAATTAAATTGAAACTTAGAAGAAACATTTTCTATGAAATTTTAAGGTTTGCGTTTTTATTTTATCCCATTTTTGTAGTGGATATACGATGGAAAAATCATAAAATTGGTGGCCAAGCATCATAAACCTATCACCTAAAACCTATGTTACCTATCACCCAATAACTAGGGGATACCCAAAGTGTTACATATCACCCAATAACTAGGGAAAACCCAAAGTCTTACCTATCACCCAATAACTAGGTGATACCCAAAGTGTAACCCATCACCAAATAACTAGGGGATACCCAAAGTGTTACATATCACCCAATAACTAGGGGATACCCAAGGTGTTACCTATCACCCAGTAACTAGGGGATACCCAAGGTGTTAACTATCACCCAATAACTACGTGATACCCAAAGTGTTACCTATCCCCTAATGACCCGGTCACATGGCGTCCTGCTGGGTGTCTTCGGCAGAATGTTTCAGTGAGGTAGCACTATAAAGTCGGCATCAGTTTCGCGCTATCACAAGGAGACAAACACGAACATATCGCAGCCTCCCAAAATACACACACATACACTACACGCATACATCTTGCACCCAGGGGAGGCCGTCCTTAAATGACCTTAGCTGTTAATAGGACGTTAAACAAAATCAAACAAACAAACAAACAAACCCCTAATGACTAGGTGATACCCAAAGTGTTACCTAGCACCCAATAACTAGGGGATACCCAAATTGTTACCTATCACCCAATAACTAGGGGGGACCCAAAGTGTTACCTATCACCCAATAACTACGTGATACACAAAGTGTTACCTATCCCCTAATAACTAGGTGATACCCAAAGTGTTACCTATCACCCAATAACTAGGGGATACCCAAAGTGTTACATAAGATGATAACCAAAGTGTTACCTATCACCCTATAACCAGGCAATACCCAAAGTGTTACCTATCCCCTAATAACTAGGTGATACCCAAAGTGTTACCTATCACCCAAAAACTAGGTGATACCCAAAGTGTTACCTATCACCCAATAACTAGGTGATACCCAAAGTGTTACCTGAGATGATAACCAAAGTGTTACCTATCCCCTAATAACGAGGTGATACCCAAAGTGTTACCTATCACCCAATAACTAGGGGATACTCAAAGTGTTACCTATTACCCAATAACAAGGTCATACCCAAAGTGTTACCTATCACCCAATAACTAGGGGATACCCAAATTGTTACCTATCACCCAATAACTAGGGGATACTCAAAGTGTTACCTATTACCCAATAACAAGGTCATACCCAAAGGGTTACCTATCACCCAATAACTACGTGATACCCAAAGTGTTACCTATCCCCTTATAACTAGGTGATACCCAAAGTGTAACCTATCACCCAATAACTAGGGGATACCCAAATTGTTACCTATCACCCAATAACTACGTGATACCCACAGTGTTACCCATCAACTAATAACTTGGTGATACCGAAAGTGTTATATATTACCTAATAGCTATATGATCGCATATGATAGCCAAATTATTACCAATCATCCAATAACTAGGTTATAGCCAAAGTTTTATCATCACTTAATAGGCGATAGCCAAATTACTATATGCCACGAAGCCAGTACATTACTCGGGTTAGGGTA